GCAGCCCACGACGGTTGGGGCTCCTGTCTCTTTAAATCCGGGTCCTTGAGCTGGCGGCAGCACGCAGGCGCAAAAGCCAAGGTCTGAGTCCGCGCACCGGTCCCCGCCCCCGCCTGCCACGTGGGTCGGGGTCGGATTCTGCCCTGTGGGGTTTAGGGGAGGTTTCCAGTGTGAGATCGCGGCCCGCGAAGCCGAGGTGAGGGGGTGCGGTGGCGTCCTGGGGCGCAGCCGGGCCTGAACGTTGGAGGATCTCCCTGATTTTCTCATACTCTTTGAGATTGTCTAGTCTTTAACAATGTTGTTTGAGAAACTGTATTGTGATAAGTTTGGGGAAAGCGTAGATCGAGTCTTTCAGTCTGCTTTTTCGGTTCTCTCTTCTTGTTACCGAGAGTCCCAACTTTTGGGAAAAAAATGTATATATTTTTTGTTAACTTCACAATGCAGCTTCTAGGATTTACGTTTTTTTTCTTCTTTTTCTTTTTGAGCACTCTCTACACAACGATCCTATGATTATGATTAAGTACATACCCATTGCTCTAATTGTGTACTGACTTGAGAAATTCCAGAGGCTAATCTTGGAACAAACTCTGCTTGGAGCCTCGTTTGTTCAGAAATCCCCAGTGCCTGGAGACGCCATAGCAAGAATCAGAAATCCCCGGGGGTAGTTACTCGATAACCTGGCCAAAATTGAGATAGCAGCCTAGGCAACCTAACCAGACCTCGTCTCTACAGAAAAAAATTTAAAATTAGCCGCTGTAGTCCCAGCTACTTGGGAGGCTGAGATGGAAGGATCCCCTAAATCTAGAAGGTAGGGGATGGGATGAGTCCGCTACATTCCAGCCTGAGCAACTGAGACCTCTCATTCCATCTTTTCCCTATAAAATCCCCTAGTCTTGTCCCCAGATTTTGAAATGGTTCCTTTGAGGCATGAGCCTGGCTTTTTCCCCATCTACTGGCTTTCAGAATAAAGTCATCTTCTTTTCACTAAATCTCAGTGCTTGTTTACTTTGGCCTGCAAGCAGAGTGATAGCAGAACTTGGGATCGGCAAGACGATGTCTCACAAAGTGCCTAAAACATAGTAATTATTAAGTAACTTTTATTTAATTGAAAAGAGTCACTAGGAGATCGGGCAAGGTGGCTCATACCTGTAATCCCAGCATTTTGGGAGGCTGAGGCAGGAAGATTGCTTGAGCCCTGGAGGAATTAGAGACCGGCCTGAGCAACATAGCAAGACCTGTTTCTACAAAAAGCCAGCAGTGATAGTGCTCACCTGTAGTCCAAGGCAGAAGGATCCCCTGAGCCCAAGAGATCAAGACTGCGATGAGCCGCCATAATTGTTCCACTGCACTCCAGCCTGGGTGACACAGTGAGACTCCAACTCAAAGAAAAAAAAGGAGGTGCTAGGTAGAGAGTAGGTAGGTAAATGTAAAGTATAAGGAGTGATGGAAGAGTTACCCCTTGATTATCGTTTAAAATGTATTATCGCTCTTAAACTTCAAGTCAGCACTATGAGAGTTTGGGATGGCTATTTTTACAAAAGAATAGCTTGTTCAGAGAAGTTAAATGATCTTGTTCAGAGTCTAGGAACAACAAACAATAGGGCCTTGTTAGGTAAGCAAAGAACAGATCCTAGAGGGAATTCTGTGCAGTGTGATGATGGTTGGCCTTTATTATGTGGGGGATGGTGGTTCTGGAGAGCCATGAAGGGTCTTAGGGAATTACTGTTTCCTGATGAAGCTGAGTAGGAGAGAGAGACTGAAGAAAGGGAATAAATCAAAACCTCTTGTAACCTATGTGAGAGATGAAACTAACTAGTTGGGGTGAAGAGGACAGTGCATTTTTGAAAATCATTTGGATTTTAAATTATCTTCTAGGTGACATGCTCATTTATGGAT